AGGAGGAGGAGGAGGAGGAGGTGGAGAGGGGGATGCGGAGAGGGGGAGGAGGATGAGGAGGAGGAGGAGGAAGAGGAAGAAAACGAAGAGCATCGAGGGAGACGGAGGAGGAGGAGGAGAAAGTGATGAGGTTGAGGATTAGGATGATGATGAGGAGGAGGAGGAGGAGAATGAGGATGAGGATGAGGATGAGGATGAGGATGAGGATGAGGATGATAATCAGAATGCCGATGATGATGCTGACGATGATGATGATGATTATGATGATGATGATGATGCTAATTATGCTGATGCCGATGCTGATGCGGATGGTGATGGTGATGGTGATGGTGATGATGATGATGATGATGATGATGATGATGATGATGATGATGATGGTGAAAGATGATGATGGTGGTGGTGGTGGTAATGATGATGCTGATGATTATGATGACGATGATGATGATGGTAATTGTGGTGGTGGTGGTCTTTGTGGCGGTGGTGATGATGATGACGATGACGCCGATTCCCTACCTAGGCTCTGTCTAGAAGGGTTCTTACCCTCTGTGCTTAAAGGGCCGGGCAGTGGAACCCGCCCCGGGCGGTTCCCCCAGGATCCGCCCCGCGGTTCCCCCAGTTACGTCCCCTTAGCTTAGCGTTGCTGATCTCATCTTATCTTAGCTTATTTCATCTTAGCTTAGCTTAGCTTCATCTGAGCTCAGGTTTATCTTACCTTAGCTTACCTTCATCTTAGCTTCGCTGAGCTTTAGCATAGCAGAGCACAGCATAGCATAGCGTAGCATAGCATAGCGCAGCAGAGCATATCATAGCATAGCCCAGCATAGCATAGCATAGCCCGACAAACCCGCGTCTTGGGTGTAATTCCCTACCTAGGCTCTGCCTAGAGGGTTAGCTTAGCTTAGCTTAGCATAGCGCAGCGCTGCATTAGCATATCATAGCATAACATAGCCAATACTAACATAACATAGCATAGCATAGCGCAGCATAGCATAGCATAGCATAGCATAGCGCAGCTTAGCATATCATAGCATAGTATAACATAGCATAGCTTAGCATAGCACAGCGCAGCATGACATAGCATAGCTTAGCATAGCATATTATAGCATAGCATAGCATAGCATAGCGCAGCATAGCATGGCATAGCATAGCATAACCGCATGCCGATGATAATAAAGGGACCTCCCCTTCAGTGTTTAGAGTTGATTATCGTTGCCCTATACAACATTCAAATTGGGCGGCGAGCGCTGAGGCCGAACTTCATTATCACCTCGAAACGCTATGTTGAGATAGCAACATCAAGCGATGTTGATATAGCAACATCAAGCGAAGCGATCACACTTTTTCAGGATGTGTCAAGCGAAACCAATAATTTTGGGAGGCGGACTCAAACGAAACGAGCAATGTTCTTTTTATTTTTCTACTTTCCTCTTCTTCTTTTATATTTCTATATGTCCTCACGCTCGCCTGAACTTTTTTTATCCCTGGGGTTGATTACCCATGGAAAATGAAGCACATGAGCTACCCTACGCGAGCACTAAAAAAAAACAATGTTCATAAAGCGTTTGTAAATTAAAATTGATAGATTTGGAACTTTGGATGTTTCCTTTCTTCGTCCTCTTCTTATTATCCTCGTCTTCTTCTTTCTTATTATTATTCTACTGTGTTCTTCTTCTTTTTTTATCTTTCTCTCTGTCCCCACGCTCGCCTGAACTTTTTTTATCTCTGGGGTTGATTATCCATGGAAATTGAGGCACATGAGCTACCCTACACGAGCACTTACAACAAAACAATTTTCATGAGAGAGAAGCCATTGTTGAGGATCTTTCTATGAAAACTAAACGCCAAGGATGTCTCAAAACGTGCTCGGCTTGGTCTCCTCTTGATCATCTCGTACTTCGAGGTTATGCTGAGGTCTGCTGGGCTACTTTTATTATCTCTCCCTGAACCCCGAACTTTATTATCCCCTAGTGTTTATTCTCACGGGCATGAGGTTAGCCTAGCAACCAATGCTGCTTTCCTAGGGGCTCCAACTTCTAGGTAGGGTCGCACTGGGGTAATGATGTCGATCCTGATGATGGATGGTGGTGATGATGATGATGATGATGATGATGATGATGTTGATGATGATGATGATGATGATGATCATAACGATGACGAATATGATGATGCTGATGATGTTGATGCTGATGATGATGTTGATGATGCTGGTGATGCTGTTCATGATGATGATGTCGATGATGATAAGGATGAGGATGGAGATGATGATGATGATGATGGTGATGAGGGTGATGATGATGTGGATGATGATGTTGATGATGATGGTGATGACGATGATGATGATACTGGATGATGATGATGAGGAGGATGATGATGATGCTGATCATGACGATGATGATGACGACGATGATGATGATGATGCTGATGATGATGATGATGATGATGATGGCGATGATGGCGATGATGCTGCTGATGATGATGGTGCTGCGGCTGATGATGATGATGATGTTGATGATGACAATTGTGATTATGAGGAGGCGGAGGAGGAGGAGGAGGAGGAGGTAGAGGACTCGACTCGACTCTACCTCGGGTTCAACGGCTCTTTGTGCCACGACGGGAAACATCAAAAGTTGCTTGACCGCCTTAGTCAATGCTGTCCTGCATCGTGGCGCTGATTAACATCTGAGCCTGGTGGTGACTTCTAATGCATCTTCATTGTGTATCGAGCACGTGCGGTCCCTCAAGAAAGGGTGCTCGCCCAGCTGGCACCCCTGACGCCCGCACGCAGCAGGCAGGGGGCCAGGCGGCACCCGTGTTGGGTGCGGAGACGCTGGCTGGGCTACCTCACCTGGCCTCACTCGAGGACCGGCTGGTGTTTCCAAAAAGTGCATCGCCTGTTGCTGGCGCCGCCCCGCGAGGACGAATCCTGCCCCAGCGGCGCTACCCTAGACCTTGGCCCAGGAGGCTGGGCGTGAGGGCGGGAAGGAGGAGGGGGAGTTGGAGTTGTAGGAGGAATTGGAGGAGGAGGTGGAGGAGCAAATGTAGGAGGAGGAGGAGCAGCAGGAGGAAATGTAGGAGGAGGAGGAGGAGGTGTAGAAGAACGAGGAGTTGGGTCTTCCTCGCCGAATTCGGGTTCGCAGATCGCCCCCCGCAACCAGCCGCCCGAGCACATCGCCCTCGCTCGCGCTCACGGAAGGGGAGGCAAAGAAGGTCTAGGGTCAGGAGGAGGAGGAGAGGAGGAGGAGGAGAAGGAAGAGGGGGAGGTGGAGGGGGGGAGGTAGAGCGGGGGAGGACGAGGAGGAGGAGGAGGAGGAGGAGGAGGAGCGAGAGAGAGAGAGAGAGAGAGAGAAAGTGGAGTATGTGAAGGAGGTTGGGGTGGAGCGTGGGAGGAGGACAGAGGCAGGGATCTAGCATGGACCTGGCACTACGACGAATCAGAAACCAGCGAGCCAGCTACCGCGCGAGCGAGGACGCAGTGCCCACCCCCACGCCGGCCCTGGGCGACACGGCACCGAGACACATCAAGCTCAAAATGTCGTTCATGTGGTGGGGTGCCGACCTTCCCGCGGACGTCCGAGACGGCCAGCCATCACAGGAGGGTCTCACCCCCCGGAAAGCGGCCGAACAGCTCGTCCCACTTGGCGCAGGCGCATTTGGCACACCCGTGGCAGAAGTCAAGCAGTGGCGAAGCGTCCTGGTTTGCCGATAGGCCCGCCGAATTATGTTCCACTAGCCCTTTGAGGTCTGCACGAAATGTTATTACAACGCTTCTGCCTGATATTGTCTTGTGTTAACACATCGGGCTTATGTTCCAAGAACAGTGTGCTTGCTATTAGAAATATTGTGGGGGTTCTAAGAACATCCCGTGGTAGGCCTATAGGAATGCCCGGACGGTCGGTCCCTGCTCAAAGAAGTCCATCCTCCTGGGGCATACTGTCTTATGCCCCCCGACCTGCGCCCCCAGTCGTGGAGCGGGTGCCAGGAGCGCTTACTCAGCGCGTCGCGTAGCCGGTTCTGGCCCACCACGCCACGCGAGCACGTCCCGGCTCCCAAGCGTCAACGTCCCGAGCTTGGCCCAGCCTCCCGTCCCGCGAAGTTGAGCGACACGCTATCCGTCTGCAACGCATGGCGTGCCGCAGCGGCCGCCGCCCAAGGTCGAAGAACGATGAGGACTTACATACACATAAATGTTCGGGGCTCCGCGTGGGTCTCTTGGGTCGGCGCTGGACTCCTCCTGGCGGGGCCTCTGGCGCCGCCCTTGGCGCGCTTCGCGCGCCAGGACAGGGGGGGCCTAGCTCCGTCTCAAGATGTCCGCGCGGACCTCCGAAAGTTTACGTGTATGCAGTTTCTTCGTCCCTCTACACGGACGAACTAAGGCGCACCAGATTCGACCATTCGGGCCAAAGCGTAGGGGGTCGGGCCCCACCCCCACCCGCTGGCACCCCCGGCCTCCAAGACCAGGCTGTGGGATAGTGCGTGAGAGCGTGAGAGTGGCACCTGTGCCGCTGGGTGCCCTCGTGGCGTCCTAGGAAAACAGGCGGGTTGGCAGCCCATCGTCACCACAGCTCGACGGGGCTGTGTGATGGACTCTTCCTTCTCGACCATGCTAGCGGCGTTCATCCCCGAGCCTCTCAAGACGGGCCCCAATGAAGACGACCTGCAGGGCCCCCAAAGAGCCGCATGTGAGACCCCCCGGCTAGGTTTGAAGAACACGGCTAACAATGCGATTTGCGGGGTGACCAACCACTGTCTTCATCCCGTTATTGGGGCGATTGGGGCTTCCTCTCAAAATGGTTTTATCCGTCGTCGGAACTTCCTGAACAACGTCGTGGACTTGGACGTTCACTCACGGGCTGCTAGCGTTCGGTCACAAGGTTCCCTGCGGACCCCCCCTGCGTTGACGGCCGTCGATTTCGAGCAGGCCTTCCCCTCGATTAGCCAAGGTTGGCTGCGGATGGCCATCGAGACGCTTCGCCTTCCCCTGTCCGTGAAAGCCGCGCTCAAGGCATTGTGCCATTGCTCCCCCTGCAACTATGGCGGGTCGTCCCTGTCGTTCCTGTACTGCATATCGTCGGGGGTGCTCCAGGGCTGCCCCTTCAACGGCTCCCTGTACATCGTGGCTTCCAACGCCTGCGTTCTTGACATCGATCGGAGCCTCCTCCTCCAAGGGAAGATGTTGGGCATTTCTCGGTTCTGTGCTGATGATCTTGGGTCAGTGGTGTATCATCCCCGCGCCTTCCCGAGACTTTCCCGCATCTTTCGGCTCGCTGGTAAGTTTGCCAACCTACGACTCAAACACAGGAAATGCATCGTGGTCCCTCTGTGCGACCGTGGCAACGCCGTGGCCATGAGTCGCTTGCGCGCCGCGCTTTTGGCGGCTGACGCCAGTTGGGCCGACTTCACCTTCGCCCCATCGGTGACGCACCTGGGCTTCCAGGTCGGTCCAGGCGCTTCGCACGCAGATCAGTGGCGCCCCCCCCCCTGGCGAAACACGTGCTCCGCACGACGGAGATCAGCCGGCAGGGCGCGCCGCTCGGGGTGGCGGGGGAGCTCTATCGGACGCGCGCCCTTCCAGTCCTCCCCTACGGGGCCCAGCTGGCGCCGCTGGGTTGACAGGAGGCCCAGGGCCAGCGCGCGATCATCGCTCGCCTCCTGCGCATGTCCGACTGCTTCGCGCTGGCGGGCTGGAGCGGTCCGAGGTTCGACTCTATGTATGCTATGGCTGCCGCGGCGCTGATTCGCTCCGCGCTGACGACGTGCTCCGCCTTGCGGGAGGGCCTCCGCTTCCTGCGCGCGCAGGCCCGGTACGTCGGCACGATGGATCTGTGGTGCTCCCCGCTGCTAGCGCCCCCCTTCTGGGCCGCTCCACCATTCGCGGTGGCGCTGGAGTCGGCGGCTGCTGGGTTTCCCTGTGATTGTCATCTGGCTGCGGGCGGGGCCGCCGCACGAGAGCTGTTCGATTGCGACGCCTGCGAGCCCGCGCCCGCGCTCCTGGACATCTTCGGGACCACGCCGCTGTCTACCAGCCTTGCACGGGCTGTGGATCGTGCTCGACGCGTTGCTGCTGACCATCGGGTCCCAGGGCGCATCAAGTGGCAGTCCATCTTCCGTGCCATCTTTATCCAAACTATCTTCCCTGAGCGCATCGGCGAGCTGATCGACCGCCGACTCCGCCGACACTTCCAGCTCGAACTTCACGATCAGGGTGCTCTTCGTCGGTGTATTCTGCGTGCCCCTCGGGCGCGGGCGACGATAGCGCTCAAAACGTACCTGGGCGGATGGATCGGTAACCATCGGTTGCAGCGAAGGGCCCCATGTATATACGGCTGCCCCCACGGTCGGGATGCGATCGGGCACATATTGAGGTGCCCCAGGAACATGCACTTCGCCGCGCTGGCTCTGCGCATGGACTTGCCAGGCCTGCCCGCCTTTCGCCTCGGCATGATGTCCAGGCTGTTGCCACCTTTCGTCAGGCGGCCGAGCTTGTCGAGGCCACTCGTCTTGCGGTTCGCCTCCCGCTCCAACCACGCCAACGACAGCTGCTCCTCCGCTCTGTCCTCTTCGAGACGGTCCGACTGGCTCGAGCTGCTCGTGACCTTCTCCCGCCCCCCCCCTCGGAGTCGGAGAATGACATGGCTGGGATGCAGGGGGCCGGCCCGACTTCAGGTGTTCGAGGAGACATGGCGGAGGGGACTGGCCCGAGCCCTACTTCCTCGTCTTCTAGAGGGCTACTCCTTCATCCTCTCAGATTTGCTCCTCGTCGTCGTTGCGGGTCTCGTCTTCTTCGTGGGGTGTGCCTCGGATGTGCGCTGAAAACAGTGAGCCGGCCCCTGCCATCGCTTCTGTCCCATCCTTGTCTCGCTCTCCTCCTCTGTCGCAAGCTTCATCCGCCGAGCTCTTCTCCTCCCTCCCGAATACGGATTTTCCCTGCGCCTCGGGATTGATCGGTGAGCCCTCCCCCCTTCGTCCTCGGCAGTTTGAGCCTCCCAGTCCTCTCTCTGTGGGCCACCGTAATCCTGGGCCTGTCTGTGTGGCTCTCGGGGTCCCGCCTTCCGCGTCCTCCTGGCCTGCTGAGCCTCCTCGTCCTGCTCTTGTGGGCACCCCCGAGGGCACCTCTGAGCAGTGATTTCTCTAGCTTAGCGATCTTTCAGTTTGTGGATTACGACATGCCGCGATCCACGGGGTCTGCACAAGGAAGGCCAGGCTCCACCGCCCCCGTTGCGTAGAGTGGCCTGGTGGACAGACTCGTCCCCCCTGGTTGCGCTCTGCCTCCTCCTCCTCCTCTTCTTCCTCCTCCTCCCCTTCCTCCTCCTCCCCCCCCACCTTCACATTCGGCCCAAGGTTTTTCCGGGCCCTCCCAGGACATTCGGACCGCAGGCTGCTCAAGGCCCCCCCGCGCAGGGCACAGCCATGGCATCCGAGGCGCCGAGCGTTGCCCAGGCGGCCGCCGACTTCATCAAGAAGCGGGCGCCCGGCTTCACGCCGCGGCTGGGCGTCATACTCGGCAGTGGCATGGGCGGTGTCGGCGCGGCAGTCGAAGAGCCGGTCGCCATTCCGTACTCCGAGATCCCCGACTTTCCAGTCAGCAGCGTCTCGGGCCATGCCGGGAAGCTCCTGCTCGGTAAGCTCGGTGGCATGAGCGTCGCCTGCTTGCAGGGAAGGGTGCACCTCTACGAGGGGATGGATCCCGCCACGGTGAGGGTCTACATCTACACCCTGAAGCTCATTGGCTGCGAGGCCCTCTTCCTGACCTCCGCCGTTGGCTCCCTGGTCGTCGAGAACGGTCCTGGCACGATCGTCTGCATCAGCGACCACATCAACATGCAGGGGCGCCATCCGCTCATTGGCAAGAACGACCCGATCGGAACACGCTTCCCCGACATGAAAGATGCCTATGACCCAGAGCTGCGGGCGATGTTGGGCGAGTGTGCTAAGCAGCATGGTATCCGCATGCCCGAGGGTGTATATCTTGCTCTCACTGGGCCGTCTTTCGAGACGCCGGCAGAGATTCGAGCGCTGAAGACACTTGGCGCAGACCTTGTAGGCATGTCAGTGGTTCCCGAGGTGATTTGCGCTCGGCACTGTGGCCTACGTGTGGTGGGCGTGGGGATCTGCGTCAACTTAGCCAGTGGACTTGGAGCTGGCACGATAACGCACGAGGACACTCTTCACTTCACATCCAAGGCAGCAGATAGCATGAAGTTGCTCATGACATCGTTTATCGAAAAGTTCGGACAGCGCGGTCAAAAGAGGAAGGCTGAGGCGCTGGACTCTCCTCCTCCTTCAGACCAGGTGCTGGCGGAGCATGCAACGGGGCTCATCGATCACACCAGCTTGGGGCTCGATGACACCGGCGACGGCATTCGCTCACTCGTCGACGCTGCCGTCGCGAAGCCGCCCCACACTGGGGCCCACACGGCGGCGGTGTGCATCTACCCCAAGTTTGTTAGGCTGGTGCGCACCATGCAGAAAGAGTGCCCCTTCCTATACCCTCGCAGCCTGCGCGTCTGCACGGTGGTCAACTTCCCCAGCGGCCAGGAGCCCATCGAGAAGGTCCTCGAGGATACGGCCCGGGCCGTCGCGGACGGTGCCGACGAGGTGGACCTGGTCATCGACTACAAGCTCCTGAAGGAGAACTACGCCAAGGGCCGGGAGGCTCAGGGGAAGGAAAGGTACCGATCGTTGTCGCTTTCTCGGGCCTCCTGGGAGGCCCTCGTCGCCACCGCTGGATTCGCCTCGAAATTCTGGGCAGAACGCAACCCCAGGAGAGAATGCGGGGAGTAGCGGTGTCGGTATGGTTTGGCTCCCCGGAGGCGGCAGAGCTGTTGGTGCGGTCCGTCCGCGCCAACTGCCCGGAGGGGCAGGTGCTCCTGAAGGTCATCATCGAGAGCGGCGAGCTCGGCGAGGCCGAACTGATCAAGCGGGCCTGCGAGGCGGCCATCGCTGGCGGCTGTGACTTCGTGAAGACCTCCACGGGCAAGGTGAAGGTGAACGCGACGCCAGAGGCGGCCAAGATCATGCTCGGCGCGATCGCTGCCAACGAGAGGACAAGGGGGCATGGCACTGGCAGGGTCGTTGGGTTCAAGGCGGCCGGTGGCGTGCGAGACGTGGCCCAGGCTCGCGGAGAGGTAAATTGTCGGAGGTCCGCGTGAATTTCTTGGACCAGCGCTGGGCCCCTTCTCTGGCTCGCGGAGCGCGCGAGGGGCGGCGCCAGAGGCGCCGCCAGGGGTGCCCAGCGCCAATCCCAGAAATCTGCGCAGAGCCTCGGAAGCTTATGTTTATGCTGCTTCTTTGCATCTTAATCCTCTAGGCTCGGGTCTACCTTGAGCTCGCAGCCGAGATTCTCCTGGGCGACCGCAAGCGCGTTCTCGAAGTGGACTCGCGGCGGCTGCGCTTCGGGGCGTCGTCTCTGCTCCCGAGCCTTCGAAAATGTGCAGCTGGCGCTGCAGAGGCGGCGCCGAGTGCAGCTGGCTACTGAGTTCGGAGGAGTGGGCCAGTCGAGACAGCGGCGGCCCTCCCCTCAAGGGAGGCACAACCACCCGGACCCCGACAATTGGCGTTTACTAAACGGCCCTGGGCGTTTACTGAACAGCCCTGCCCTGTTCGATTCCTTCCGTGCGTTTGCCGAACGGCCTCCCTTGTCGGGATGGTTATTCTGTGGATGGATGTGTTGCCCTCTACCCCTGGCTTGCTGCTGCTTCGTGGGGCCCCCTGGAGGCTTCTCGTCGCCACGGCCGGCTCTGCCTCGAACAGCAGGTCCGGGGACTTCTCCTGAGCGGACTAGGGGGGGGGCCGGGTGGGGGGGGAGCCGCCGTTGTCTCCGCCGGCCTTGCTCCGAGGGGCCTCACCGCTCGGCCACGGCCGCTGCGCTTCGGTACGCAGAGGGTGAGGAGGAGGTGGAGGAGGAGCAGAAGGTGGAGGAGGAGGAGGAGGAGGAGGAGGAGGAGGAGGAGGAGGAGGAGGGGGCAGGAGGAAGTTCGTGGGTGGAGGAGAGGAGGAGGAGGAGGATGAGGAGGAGGAGGAGGAGGAGG